ATAGTTTAATTGATCATAAATAATTTCCTGTCTCACTACAATTTAAATTTATGTATTTTCTCATTTTCAGAAATAGACTATGGAATTGTATTTTTACTCAGTTCAGAGTCACATCAACCAACACATATAAGAAATATTCTATTGATTTTTATTATAATTAAAATAAATTTGGAATGCAAGCAAAATATAAAGTATGAAATATAATAAGTCAGAATTCAGATTTAGCAAAATGATAATTGTCATAAATAAACAGTATTTTATCAAGATTTGTGGGACATAAAGAAGTCCTTTTAGCATTGAGTATTAATACAGCAATGGAAAAATTCTTTCGCTGGGTGTATTGGTAGGTATACAAAGAACCTTCCTAGCTAAATTAGCAAGCATAGGAAGTTCCAGTCGCTCAAAAGATTAATGCATCCTCTTCTGGGATATTATTATGGCTGAGCAAAATATTATTATTCTAGATTACTAATATTGTTATAATCGATACTTAGAAGGGAATGTTTACGAGCTAATTTAGTTATATAAGAGCTTGATGTTTGACCATTATCCTCAACTTGAATTTCACTCTGTGCATTTTTATCATGCTCTAAAAGTTTTAAATGTCGAATTAAAAATTGCAATTATGTCGTAGAATTCGAATTTAAATATTCTGAAGCAACTTTGAGATTTTGAAATCTGGGATCAAGTAGAGTTTCTAATATCAATGTTTAAAATATAATTTTATTAATAAAAATATAAAATAACTTGAAGTTTAGTAATGGGAAACCTATGGTCAAGCTTTTTTTTCATATTTTCTTTTAAGCATATAATATCTGAGCAATCAGATCTATTGATTTGTTTATGAGCTTCTATTTCACTGCGAAATAATAACCCTAAGTTTATTGTCGATCCTTTTTGGGAGAAAAAAAATTCCACCGACTCTCGGAATGGATTAAATACTGCGTAAAGCTCATCAATTATATCCCATTCATTATTAAAGAGTTTTAAAGATTGTTTTCCTATTTTATTTAGAACATTATTTATAGGAATTTTGTTTGCGAACACTTTCTATCATAATTAATATGCTATGCCAGCGGGTAGGGCAATTTAATTTTAAAGTTTCTGCATTAATTAGATTGATTGGTGCAATGCCATTTCTATTATCCGATTCATCAGACATATCAAAATGGTCATCAAGGTATGGATCAGAGTCATCAATATCCAAGATATGACCTGTCTCATAAATTGACTGCAGACATTTACGATGTTCAATCTCAATTTCACATTCCAAATCAGCTACTCGATATCTGAGGGCTGAAATAATTTCTTAAATTTTTTTAATGAGAATATCAATTTTGGTAACTTTTTTATGCCATCAACTGAACCAAATTATGAAGTCCATGCCTTAAGCATAAATGATGCTCATAATCCCCTAATCTGACGCTTCTTTTGACATTGGCCTGATGCTCATAATCCCCTAATCTGACGTTTCTTTTGACATTGGCCCCAGCATCAGTTACCATTTGTATTATTTTGGCTTTTAAATGGAACTCCTCTTCATATAAATCTCAGATAATATTGTTTCTTCAGTATGCTTTTGAGTCACATTTCTAGTTGCTAGGGTAAAATATTTTAAATCAAAATTTCCATATAAATGATGAAGACTAAATGTGATATAATTTCGACGCTTGAAATGATCGGTCCATAAATCAAAAGTGATAGAACAAAATTTTGAGAATCAATCAGATTTAAAACATGCGCTTTATAGATAAATAAACATCGTCTAGTGCACCCCTACTAATGGTTGTCCTATTTGGTAATTCTGAGGAATAAATTATCTTATATTTCTATTTTTTAGGCAATTTATTTTTTAATAATCATTTTATATAAATTTTAAACTGAAAAAAGAAAGAAAGAAGGACGTCCTCGGAACCAGCGTCTACATGGCAGAAAATTTGATGGAGGCAAACCCCTCCAAAATCTACCCATACCCACCTAAAAAAAATCTTGCGGCCTTCGGCCGCGAAATTTACAGACCTACGATGGTATAGTGATTTTATTTAAAAAATCTTATCTGCCACCATTTATAACCTTACAACATAATTCTATTTACAATCTTTCAAGCCTATTTAGGGAAAAAAAATTTAAAAATTTGTAAGTGATAATGAACTTTTATTTAAATAATGCAATCTTTTCATAATTTGGTATTCACTTTATTTTCATAAAATATATATAAGTGAATTAAATGAGATAACATATTAATATTTCTATGAAAAAGATCTAAAATATTGTAAAAAATATAAGACGAATAATGAATTATAGTATATTTTGCATTGAAATTATAAAATGTTAAATTAAATATACATTATTTAAAAGCCTATATATTCGCTGTGAAAAAGATACATTAATTATTTTATTAATAATTTGGATAACCTTATTGATGTTAAAGCAAATTGTGTTATAATATCATCAATTGTAAATTTTTCAAAAACATCAATTTCGCTGGATATTAACAGTAAATTTTCCAAAAATGGGTCCGAAATTTTATTCCGCATTCGAGTTTTGTTAATTTTTACTTTACTCATGGCTCTTTCGGCTGAACAGGAAGTTGTAGGAAGGGTTAATAAATATTTATATAATAAATTTAAATTTGAATAAGAATTTAATTGATTTAAAAGTCGGTATGGTAATATAAAAGAAAATTTTATCCATTTTTTTATTTTGGTCATGATTTCGCTGTTGATATTTTCTTTGGTAATTTGATCGTTTGCAATACCTTTAATTATATACAATTACAAACAAAATATCAATAAATTACTTTCATCAATATATAACGCGTCATTCTTTTTAACTTTTAAAAGATCTTCGCAAAAAATGATTGATTGAGACTCCAAATATAAAGAGCGAAAATCATTATATTCATCAACAACGTTTTGGACATCCAATTGATAAGTATTACAAATTTCGGATATTTGCCATTCTTCTATTTTTTCATTATCCATAATTCCAGCGGGAGTAAAAATGGATATCTGTGATAAAAAATTTAAACAATCATAATTAAATCTATCATTTAGGTGATTAATTATTGCATTTAGAACAGGGAAAAATATTTCCGTTCTATATCTATAATAATAAATAATAATTTAAATTTTTTTAATTTATTCAACTTGTTTTTTTTTGTTCAACATAATTATTGAATTCTGTTTGATCCAATTTGAGTATTGATTTCATATTATACAAATCAGTTATTACATTATTCTTTTTCAAAAAACTATTAGATAAGGAATGTAATTTTAAAAATATATTGTCTCCATTAGCTATATTTTAAAATTATTTATAGAAATAGTAACTAATATTAACCTTTTAGTTTTGGTAATTTATTTTTTGTATGTTGTATTAATTTGGTTACCAAAGCCAAATCATTACCAACTGCCTGCATTTCAATACAAGCCTCATGTGTACATTTCAATATTTCTTTCAAAATGAAAAGACTTAATATAAAATTTTCATCTTTAATTCTTGATAATAACCCATCGGCAATGGAAGAGGTGCTTGGGTCATTAGAATCTTTTAATTCAACTAATGATGCTAAAATATGTTCATAAACACCTAAAAAGATTTCTACAGATTTGTAGGATGATGACCAATTTCTGAAAATATATAAGTTTCAAGTTTCATTAAAAATATTTTATTTACCATGTTGTGTTTTTAATTCTTTTAAGAGATTTCTTGGACTTTCTCATTTGATATTTAACAAACACACCTTGACGTCTAACTCCATTCATAAAATTATATAACTCATCTAATATTCCCATTGCCTTTTTAATTTCAATTTTGCATCCACAAACATGAGCAACTACTAAATTTAGCCGATGTGCATGGCACCAAATATAGATGGCTTTTGGAGCCTCTTTCAATATTAAAGCCTGCATTCCTTTGTATACTCCTCTCATATTCCCTGCACCATCCATACTTTGTCCAACCAAATAATCAAGAGGAAGACCAAGATCATTAAACTTAGAAAAAACATGTTTCTTTATATTTTCCCCAGTGGTTTCTGATGTTGTAAAAACATGTATGATCCTTTCTACAGGATGTGGATGCAGATCATCTTCTATATACCGTACAAGCAAAGCTATGCATTCTTTTTTAGACACATCATATGTTCCATCTAATATGATGCTATAGGCACGATTCTCTTTAATTGTTTGAATAATGCTTTTTGTTATTTTTATCTTAATAATTTCAGTTATTTTTTTCACGTGGCCATATGACAGTAAATTTATATAAGGTCTCGAAATTTTATCTGATTTTTTTCTCCGCAATTTTTCGTTGTTATCCATGTATGCACGTAAAGTTGGAACCGTTTTTGCCATTAATTTTATGAGACACATAAAATTACCTTCATTCGAATTAGAACCCCAAAAGGCTATATTACATTTTATAAGGTACATAATGGCATTGATAATATTATGAACTATATTACGATTTTCCATGATTATATCAAGCTTATTTGATAGCAAATGATCTTGAATGCGTTTATTTGCAAGCCAAGTCATGTTTGCATATTCACAATCTTTATGAAGAGAAGATGCTTCGTGTCTCTCTAAGTCACGCTTTATGTTTTTCCAATTATTTACCCCATGTTGAGTCCAAAAAGTATTGGACTTAGGGCCACCAAACATAATACAATATAGACAAAAGACTTTGTCTAAAGTAGTGCTATAAGATAGCCAATTTCTGGGGTTGAGGGAACCATCTATATTAACCTTTCTATAATAGGTTATATTCATGCTCCTGTTTAAAAAGTAAAAAAAAATATATTGGTATAGAAATAATGGATGGGTAAAAATTAATGAAAATAAATATTATTTATAACCTCTTGTTAGTAACAGGATATTGAAATTTATTTGTACATGGCTGACAAGGGCCTACGGCAATTATGAAATTTATCAAAATATTTGTCATCCTAAATAATATAAAGTGAAAAGGGTCATTTGGTTCCTTTTTTTTGTATAGCTGAATAAGACTTGGACTTAGAATATCCTCATAATTTATTCCCTTCAAAAGTCATTATATAAATTTTATTTAAATATAATGCCTCATGCAAAGTAAGTGCCTCACTAGAACCGGGGATTGGATGAGGAGATAATACAATTTGTGAATCTTCAATATTGGAGATTTGCTATAAATAAAGAGTATAATTTGTTTACTTATGAAAATCTATTTTTAATATAATTTCAGCCAAATGGTCATTTTATTCTTAGCTACATTATAATTAAGTTAATCAATAAATGTTGGAAATATTTAAATGTCCTAATTTATTTTCTTCAAAAGTTATCATATAATTCGTATTTAAATTAAATACCTCATCATGCAAAGTAAGCGCCTCACTGGAACTGGGGATTGGATGAGAAGATAATACAATTTGTGAATCTTCAATATTGGAGATTTGCTATAAAGAGTATAATTTGTTTACTTATGAAAAACTATATTTTTAATAAAATTTTAGTCAAATGGTCATTTTATTCTTAACTACATTATAATTAAGTTTTTAATAAAGGTTGGAAATATTTAATTAACCTCATAATCATAATTTATTTCTTTCAAAAGTTATCATATAATTCGTATTTAAATTAAATACCTCATCATACAAAGTAAACACCTCACTGGAACTGGGGATTGGATGAGGAGATAATACAATTTGTGAATCTTTAATAACTGAGATTTTCTATAAATAAAGAGGAGTTTAATTTCTTTCCTTATGAAAACTATATTTTTAATAAATTTTTAGGCAAATGATAATTTTTTTTAACTACATTATAATTAAGTTTTTAATAAATGTTTTAATTCTACATGAACACATGATTGAGAAAACAGGTATTAAAAATATTATGAAGTCCAACATAAAGTTATCAGGTTACAATGGAAAGATGATACAAGTAATAGGTAAAGCACAAGTGAATGTAGAATACAAAGGGAATTCACATATTTTGAACGCAATAATCATAAACATCAATATGACTTTGTTAGATCATGTAAAAACATTTTTAAAATATACTTGAAAGATCCATAGGCATGATAGATGCAGATTAATATAAAACTGCGATCACATGAAGAAATCATAAAACAATATTATAATGACTATAAAAATAAAAACAATATTAAGTATAAATAAAATTGTGAAATTCATGATGAAAGTATATTATCTAAAGAAATTCTAATAGCTAAATAAAACAATGATAATAAACATACCTAATATAACACATAATGTAAATAAAGGAGATGAAACTCACACAGATAACATTTTGAAAATAGTTGATTCCAAATCATATTTTATAAGATTTATATTTAAAAAAAGTAAAAGAATTTGAAGTCTTAATTCAATTAAAGATGAAAAGATTTAAATTTAAAAATTCCTAGAAATTAACATTACCTTATTTTACTACATTATATTAACTTAATAAGTTTTTTTAATACTTTGGTTTTAAATTATTATTATTAACTTATTAAACATATTGTTAAATTGAACTTTATAAAGTATATATAGATACAAAAATAGTGTGATAAACAGTTAAAAAACATTAAATAATAAAATATATAATTTATTTTCTCTATACCCTGACTACTTTAATATTAATATTATTCTGGTAAAATTTTAAATCAGTTTCTATTAATTCACAAATTTATAGTTACAATAATAAATAAAAATATTACTTTTTGGAAGTAAGATGTTATTGTCTTTTTTTGCAACTGGGTTTCAACTCCATTTGTGATATTATATGGAATATCACAATTTAAAGATACCCAATTATTATTATCTCTTTTGATGGCTACCTTTGTAAATTTCATATCAGCTGGCTTGACATGAGGATGTTTATGTTTATAATGTTCATGTATCTTGTCACTTCTTATTTTAGAAGTTTTGCAATTTTTAATATTGCACTTAACTTTAAATATGGTTTTGTTACTTGGCATCTAGAAAGAAATAATTATTATAATATAATTTTTTACATATTATGTTTTTTATTATTCTTTGCTTGCTGATATATGTTTTTATGCATGACTCAAAAAATTACCTAAAATTTATCCTGCTAAAATCTATAAATTTATTAAAAAACATAATATAAATATATTAACCTCTAAGAAAAGTACCAAATAGGAAATGTGTAAATATTAACTTGATAAAATGCTAAATGAAAATCGTTGACAAAGAAAATTTATATTATTTATTAATTGACAAATATCTTTACTTTAATTGACATTTTTCAGAAAATCAAAAGATCATCATAATCGTATCAATTAATGGATTAAAAAAAGATTATAATTCAAATCAAAAATTACCCACCAAAAATCAATACCTACCCCCAAAAAAATAATGCCTACCCCCAAAAAATTAATATCAACCCCTTAAAATCGATACCTACCCCCAAAAATGCTAATATATTTTGGAGGCATTTGTCTACTACCCCCCCCCCCTCCCCGGCCATGTAGACGCTGCTCGGAACACTAAAATAAAGAATGTATTAAAATGTTCGTTTATTTACTTTTTCAATCTACTATTTATATATTTTTTACAAACTAAAATTAGAATATAATATTAAAAAGGTTAACATATAAAATAAAAGTATAACAAAAATAAAAATATATTTGAATAAGTTATTAATTAAATGAATGCGCGATTTGAATAAAAGAATTAAATGAATGTGCGTTACATTATAAACATATACTATTTATTAACCAAAAAATATATTATATTAATTTATTAATTTCTATAATATAACATAAACCTTTAGAAAGTCTGCCATTCCTTTATTGTTTATAGAATCAAATGGCATTAAAGCTAAGCAGCACATCAAAACATAATTTCGCCCTATTAGATTTCATATTTATTTTAAACATTAAAAATATATTTAAAAAACATCAAAATAATTAGAGCTGGAATGAAACAAATTATAAATTTGATTTAGTTATAACTTTCAAAATAAAATTTTACATAATTAATTTAATAAATTATATATTAAGTTTATACATTAAAAAGACATTTAAAAAATATAATAATTAGAGTTGGAATGAAACAAATTATGGATTTGATTTAGTAGTAACTTTCAAAATAAAGTTTTACATAATTAATTTAATAAATTATATATTAAGTTTATACATTAAAAGATCTCAAAATAGAGCTGGCAATAAATAAACTAAAAATTTAGTTGTTTTGAACTTTCAAAATAAAGCTTAATAATATTACAAACCAGTTAAAAATTTTAAGTGAATAATAATAAACAATAATACTAACCTAAGAGCCATTTTTTATCTTTGATATTGTTGCTGCATCTAGGTGTTGGCTTTAAAAACATTTTTAGACTTTGAATGGATTTATTATTATTCATTTTTTCTGTTAGTTTGTGATAATTAATTAAGTGCCGAGATAGATTACTTGTACTTATATTTTTACTAAAACATTTTATTTCATAACTAAAATATAAAATATACATAAATATAAGTCTAAAATAAAAATAAACTGTGAAAATGAATTATGTTTATTCGAATCTTCCTCATCTTTTTTCGCCAATTTTAAGCAAGGTTCACAATAAATATAATCAGGCATTATTGTGCTTTTCTTATTTTCATTCTTCAAAATAAGATTTCCAAAGTACCTCCAGACATAACTTGATTTATGATTAGTAGAGAGAGTTATTATTTCATAATTGTATATAGGGTAGTTTAAAACGTGCAAGTCCATAAAATCTATTAATATGAATTATTTGTGGAAATAAAATATGATGTATGAATGAATGTAAATGATATACACTAGTCTATTATATATAGCAATAGAATACAATTCATATTTTAATTTTATTAATGTTAGTATTCAAATTAAAATAATAATAATTTAATATATAAATATAATTAATATGCTTTCTAAAAATTACACACGCCGCGCCGCCGCCATAATAAAAATCGGCGGCTTTTCCGGCGTGAATAAAAATAGCGGCGCCGGCGTGAGCCGGCGGCGCACAGGTCTAGTCTGGTTATGTCTTGATTGTAAACTTTCAGGGCTAAAATGGCGAAAAAAATTCACCTTTAATTAGTTCATTCCATCAAGGTTTATTAAATATTTCAAAACTTGGCTCATCGGTACCAGCCATAATTTAATAATAGAATATTCGAGATATTTATTTTAAAATCATTATATTTTTGTCATAAACTTATTTTACTTTTAATATGTTTATAAAAAAATTTTTTTTATGCCTTTTCTCGGATTTTTAAAATTTGATCATTTTAGGGTTTTAATCATATTATTTTTAAGGCTCTGGTTAAAATTTTATATTATGGGTATCTGATAAAAAAAAATATGTAAAATAAATTGGACAGTTTCAATTTGCTAACCACCACATATTTTTGGTTTTGTTTTATATGAATTATTTAAAATTAAATATGAAGAAAGAAAGAAAGAAAGAGAAAGAAAGAAAGAAAGAAAGAAAGAAAGAAAGAAAGAAAGAAAGAAAGAAAGAAAGAAAGAAAGAAAGAAAGAAAGAAAGAAAGAAAGAAAGAAAGAAAGAAAGAAAGAAAGAAAGAAAGAAAGAAAGAAAGAAGATAAGGATAGCAAAATGATTTTTTTTAATAGGGCGAGAGATATATATATTAACTTGTGATAGAGCTATATAAAGATAACTTTAAATTTAAAAAAATAATATCAGCTGATTATGGGGGGGGGGGTAGGGTGGTCTGATTTTGAGATTTTAATCATTTTTTTTAAACATTTAATTAATATATTTTAAAAAACCTGAATTTATCATCCTAAATCATTTATAATATCGAAATAATGATTAAAGTGTTTTTTATTTTTATCTCCTTGTGATATGTCTATTTTTTTTTAAAAAACATTTATTTAATTAGGTTGTTAATGGAGAAAGGCGGCGCACTTCTTGGCTTCTAAAATTACCCGCTTTACAAATAGATATATAACTTATGAAAAGAAAGATAGAAATTGATTTTTAAAAAAAAAAAATGTTACATGCTTATTTAGGTAATTTAATCACATTTATTTTATTATTTTCTTAACTAAATTAATTGAGGAAATTGAAGATAAAAAAATTATGAACTCGACTATAAGTGAAAGCATAGGATTCATATTCTTAAATACCAATAATTATTAAATATGACGCGAAAGTATTCATTTTAAAAATATATGTGTCAGTCAATATAATAAAAAAAAGTATGTTAAAAATGAAGATAAAGTGAATCTTATAATATTAATTAAATAAAATTCCTTTAAACTTCACCAATTTATATCTCGTAAATCACAAAAGTTTTACGTAATTAATATATCCTTTTAAAATTATTTACAACATCGTTTTAAAAAGAAAAAATAATAAAATAAAACCCAGGAAATTGAAAAAATTTGCTAATAATTTTTTTATATATTATATATGTTTCGGACATCTAAATTAAAAAAAAAAGAAGTTTTATTTAAATAATATTCAAAAAAAAGTATATATTGTTGAACTAATATTCTTTATTTAGGTTCTGCTGTCATTCATTGAATGACCAAAAATTATCGCTATTATGGAAATTATTTTCCACCATTCATGGCTTATCACTTGCTCTAGTCATAACATAACCATATCCACCCTCATCAAATCTCTCCGTATTTTTACCTGTCATCTTTCCTTTTTTTTTTTTCGTTTATCACCCAAAACATTCTACTCTTACCATTATAATAATAAAAATAAAATTTAATATGGATGTGGAAGTGTATGTAGTATGATAAAAAAAATAATTATGGTTTCCAATGCCAAATTCCTCCTGGCATTCTTACAAGAAAAAAAAAATAGTTTTATAATTTGCTGCGTTTTGATAGGATTGACTTTCCTTTTTCTGATGTACGATTCAAATTGGAATATGGGATCTGGCGCAAGCCTTAATTCTTGGACTAACGATAAAAGATTCTACAAAAGATACATATGGCATCAAGTCAAAAGCGCATTTGATTCCAAATTAGAAAATACTGGTTACCACTATAGGAATGATAATCCCTCCTTAAATGACTCTAGAAATGAAAATTTAAAATTAGAAATAATCGACGGTGGATTGACTTGGACGGAATCTCTCCACATTTTAAACCAAGTGATATCTTCCCGGATGATAAGCGCGTGTCTTAATTTAACCCATTCCAAATTTCAATCTCACATGGATTTAAATTCTGATTCTTATATCCGTTCAAATGCCCAATTCGCCAGCAATTTTTTATGGCGCCATCTCCGGATCAATTCACACGAACCATATACCAAAATATTTTATAAAATGGTAGCCAAAAAATTTCCCGTTATTGATCTCCTAAATTTCGAATATAAAATTGACATCAGTTATCCCGATTGCGAGGACAAAGAAAACATGGACTATTTTGATTATCCTAAGTTTAATAGATATACACCGAAAACAACACTGATGATAGCTCCCACTAATTTAAAGGTCACGGAGAGAAATGATAACTCAAATATTCATTTAGCAAAAAAGGGTTTAGTATTTACTAATAATTCTTTTATAAATTCTTCAGAGCCAGACGTTACCATTGATTCGAGCGCTTCTGATAATAGTGCACAAACTCAATCGTTTCGATCTAGAGATAAAAAGGAAACAAAACCGATAACTTTAATTATACTAATCCATACGGCTCCTTCTAATTTTAAAAATCGGATGTCTATTCGCAAATCGTGGGGATCTTTAAGTAATATTAAAAAAAAGAGAAATAAAGCAACGGCGAACCCATTACATATTTCGACAAATGATAAATATAATAAAGGTGTAATGAATTCCATATATAAAATTTTGACGGGTGATATAGATTTTGATGAAATGAATATAAGACTCGTTTTTCTGACAGCTTTAACATTCATTGAAACTAAAGACAGAAAAAAGTCATTTAACATGAGGATTTCATCTCCAAAACCCTTTCCAATACGCAATAATTATCCACCGCTGTATAATATTTTGCATAATTCGAATGCCACAACGCACAGTTCTGGCATCCGGGTTTCCCAGTTTAACTTCAGCATATATCAAAGCGATCAACAATCAAACCGAATTATCCAAAGAATGCTTAAAATAGAAGCGCGTAAATACAGAGATATTGTCCAAGGAGATTTTCTCGATTCCTACCAAAATTTGACTTACAAAATGATTATGGGTTTTAAGTGGATAGCCAGTAGATGCTCCAAGGCA